ATACTGGAGTTAATAAATTCAAAACAATAAATAAACTACACCCTTTTTTTTTAAAAAATGATCATTTATTTTATGTATTCGTTGGTGTTATCGATGTCATTGATAATATGATTTAGATAGATATATTTTAGTAAGTGGAGATAACTTACAGATATAGCTTTATTAACTATTGTTTTCGATGGTTTTAATAAATAATGATAGGCCAATAAAGAACATAATATTGATGGATATATTGGAAAAGAAAATGGTTCATTACTTAAGTACAATTTGAATAAAATCCTCATCAAAATAATCGTATACATTGGGGTATTGATGTCTAAGTGATGTTGATTGTAATAGTATTTTGAATATTTCTTTTGCTAAATCTCTGTGATTACTGATAATTTCACTAAATCCATAAATTAATTTGTTATTGAGTTCATATTTACTATCTACATAAATATGTTCATTATTTTCTATCTTACATTTTAATAAATGATATAATTTTTTGTCTAATAGGAATTCTAATGATGTTATATTTTTGAAAAATAATCTATTATCTGGAATATGGTTTATATTATTATATTATATTTAATTAAACAACTGAATGAATGAAATGAAATATTTTATTAAATAAATATTTATTATGAAAAAATAGATTAAATAATTCTGAGATTTTTCGAACATAGTTGTTACTATTATTCATTGTTGTAATGTTATGTGGTGATGTGTTTAAAATTAAAATGAAATATTATGATTATAAAAATACTAAAATGAAGCTATAAATTTAAGCTTGATTATACAAATTACTTTGATTGCGAGCTTGAATTTAATGAAAAATAAATTCGAAAAAAGTTTTTATAGAGTTTTAAAATTTTTTTTATAATAGATGGATCCAAACTCGGTATTCCCTTATTTGTACATTCTATTAAATTTTTAATCTGTAGCTATCATAAAAGTAGTGATCATTCGTTTATTTTTTAAACACCAAATAAAAAAATAATTTAATTAAAAAAATTTAAAAAAAATTTAAAAAAAAATTTAAAAAAAATTAAATTATAACCCCACCACACACAAAATGATCGAAAAAATTGGTAATTATTAATATTAATTTTATCACAAAAATAAATTAATTTATTTTTAAAATTTAGATAATCAATAGAAGGGCAATCTAAAAAAAGATCACCTTCAAAAAAAAGATGAAAAAGAAAAAAGATAAAGAAAAAGCAGATAGGGAAGAGGATATGTAAAGAAAAATATAGAGATATAGAAATAGAAAACAATTAATGGTAATAGATAAACCTTTAGCGGTCGAAAAAAAAGAGAGCAGGATGAAATCATGCATCAGCAAAAGTAGTTACTGAAGCACCCGAGGAACCCAAAGAATCAATTATTGACCAACCAGAGGTAAAAGCCCAACAGTAGTCGAAGAACCAAAACCAAATAAAAGAGTAAAAAACATAATATCCAAAACACAATAAAAAAATTAGATAATACATAAAATAAATGATCATTTTTAAAAAAAAAAAGTGTAGTTTATTTATTGTTTTGAATTTATTAACTCAAATATTTCTTTGGGAGGTTGGGGTTCTACTGTTACCCCCATAGCTTAGGTAGTTTAGACCCACAGATGCAGATGTAAAATGTAATGAGTTGTTTAAGGCTTGGTTTATATAGATTAAAGAGTCGATTAAACCAGCACGAAAAGAATCACCGGCACCAGTCGAGTCTACAATTATGGCTCTATATATGTAGATTCACCGGTTTTGTAGTTACATAGGGTGCCACAAACAGTCGTTAAATATATTTAATTTAATATTATACATTGGTTGATCAGATTCAACAAATCCAATTCTAAACATAGTTCTTACTTTCTCTTTAAACATACATAGATATCTATCTGCACCTGGTGAATTCATTATATTGATCCTTGTCCATTAAACATGTGTATTTGAAATTTTATGTTTAAAATGATTTATTTTATATCAAATAAAAAAAATAAAAATAAAAAAATAAATAAAAAAATAAAAAAATAATTATTTCAAAAAAATAATTTTATAAAAAGAATTTATCTTTATTTTATTTTTATTTTGGTGAGCCATTATTTTCAAAAGATATGGGTTTCTTCCAAACAAATAATGCTGCCAGTTTTTTTTTATAAATTATTTGGTTCTACTGGAATATATTTACGATTTCCACCATTCATTTTAATATTTATTGTATAATCAGTGTTTTTTGATATATTAATAAAATTATTATTTTTGTTAATAAATTTATTATTGTTATTAACAGCAGAAAACATATTTGAAATATTTTCTATAATTTAAAAATAATATTATTAATAGATGTTTTTTATTTTAAAATTAATTTTATAGCAAAAGTAATATTAACTTACTGAAGATCATTTTTTAATATAGTTTTGTAGTTTTATCAAATTTACTTTTATTTGAAGGTTTTTAACTTATTGATGAAATAAAAATAAATTTCATTTCATTTAAATAGTTTTTTGAATCAACTCAATAAAAAAGTTGATATCAGTTGGTAAAAATAGATTTTGATTCAATAATTGATTCAAAAATAAAAAGTGAAAACTATTTTTGTAGCTTCACAAAATTTGGTTTACACTTATTATTTTTAAACACACACTAATTTCTTTATTTACAAAGTAATTTTTATATGTAAAAATATTTTTTAGTGTGGTGGGGTTTAACAATTAATTTTATCCTACAATTAATTTTATCTGTTTTCATTATTCAACTACGATTTTGAAAAGATTATAGAAATTGACATATTTTTTTATTATAATAAAGATTAAATAAATTTCTTATATTTATATTGAATTAAATTTTTTTAGGGGTTCGAAAATAGGTTAGTTTGATTTTTTAAAAAAAAAAAAAATAGTCCTGCCAACCGCACCCCCCACAGCGCACCTATTTCAACCTTTTTTAAAACTTATCAATTTAAATATTTTCAAAAATTATAGCATTTATTTTGATTAAATAATTTAAAGTAGAAAAGATTTTTATTGACTAACTGAAAATTATTTTTGTTTTAGTGAAATTGATTTTAATTTTTTTTTATTTTTATTTTTTTAAATTTTTAATTTTCATTTTTTTTTTTTTATTTAAAAAAAAAAAAAAAAATTTAAATTTAATTTTTATTTTCATTGTATGAATGAAATTATATATTTCATAAAGCATTTGTTGAATAATAACCATCACTTTAAATCATCCTATTTATTTAATTATATCAGGTTGATATTATACCAAAACAAATTAAAAATAATAAACAATTATATTAATAAAAATATGTCAATTTCTATAATCTTTTCAATATCGCAGTTGAATTGTTCTTTTATTATGATGGATTGAATAATGAAAACAGATAAAATTAATTGTTGGGTAAAATTAATTGTTAAACCCCACCACACTAAAAAATATTTTTACATATAAAAATTACTTTGTAAATAAAGAAATTAGTGTGTGTTTAAAAATAATAAGTGTAAGCCAAATTTTGTGAAGCTACAAAAATAGTTTTCACTTTTATTTTGAATCAATATGAATCAAATCTATTTTTACC